GAGCGATTCCACATCTGCAAACCAGCTTATTATTAGTGCTGGGCAAACAAACAAACCAGCATGAAAACTTACTGAACATGGAGCTTATGCCACCCCCTTTGAAATGACACCTGCCCAACACCTGGGAAGATCCTCTCGCTTATCCAAGGCACAGATTCAAGATTAGAGTACTATAAAGGTTCTCAGTTGTCAGCAAGGTGCTGTTTTTAATATCTCTGATAAAAGTTATGCATAATACATGAAAGAAGACTAATTGCCAGTTCACCACTCACTCCCGAGTGATTTATATTGTGGGTAGCAGTTTCATTTTTGAAAAATAATCCAGTAATTAAAAAAATCCTATTATTTTTTAAAATATGTGAATACTTCTTTTAGCCATGAAATAATGTTAGCCTTAAGACATATTGAAGAGTTTGAGTGAGGAAGGTGTAGGAACATGAAAAGGTAGCATTCCTATGCACAGTTGCTTTTGTTCCAATCTCATTTAAACTCGGTGGGATGAATTTCAGAGTAAATGTGAATTGGATTCGGCTGCACGAGTGTGATCTCTAGGCAGTCACAAACTTGGCAAATGGTTTCGTCTGTGTGGTAGTGGTTGTTTTAGGGTGTATAACGGTGTTTTGCCTGGTTTTTTGTGTGGGGAGAGGCATGAGGGGGGCAGAAGATTAAGGATTCACTTTTGGATATCACTCAGTGTTCAGCTAAGGCTAATTTCAGCACCACAAAATAACCAGTTTAGAGAAGAAAACCTGGGAGTGTGTACCTGCACAATAATCTCTGGGCCGTCCCAAAACATAAACACACACCTCCAAGAGAACACCTTCCTTTGAGGCAGCATAGAAGTGTGTCCAGCCTAAACACTGCCCCAAGGTTTATTGCACCCCTGTATACCCCAGGTTCCTTATTCCACACTGGCAATTCTTAGCCAGGGGCCCGGTACCATGCCTGGTTGTGTCTTGTGCCAGACACAACTAAGAAGGCTGTGATGCTGAAGTTTAACAGGTGGTGATGCTGACACAGCACAGGAAATTTACAAGATTAGCTTTAGGGTTACTACCAGCGTTGTGTCTCTCATAATTGCTGTTATAATAAATGGCCCTATTAGACGTTTTAATGTTTGAAAAGCTGATTTTCCAAAAAAGAACCCATTTGACTTCCCGCAGAGATGACATATTATATACAGTACTCTCACTTTCCAGCCATTTCCAGTAATAATTGAAGATGGGAGGGAGCATTGTTGGCCTATTGTTTCTTTTGTTGGTCCAATTGCTCTATCAAAAATACCGGTAGTTTCTTTTGCAATTATATTAAAGTTTAACCTACTTTTTATATGGCAAATTCATCATGATTGGCAGGTGACATTAGACAAGGTTGTGTCAAAGCAAGTGTTATCCCACACTTTCTAGCACATTTCCCTCTTACGTTTCTCATCATAAAAAGTCCAATCTTTTGGAGAAGTGGGTTTGTTGAGCAAGACCTTCTAATCAACTATAACTGCGCGACCAGAATTAATAATAATAATAATAATAATAATAATAATAATAATAATAATAATAATAAATTTATTATTTATACCCTGCCCATCTGGCTGGGTTTCCCCAGCCACTCTGGGTGGCTTCCAACAAAACACTAAAATACAATAACCTATTAAACATTAAAAGCTTCCCTAAACAGGGCTGCCTTTAGATGTCTTCTAAAAGTTTGGTAGTTATTTTTCTCTTTGACATCTGGTGGGAGGGCGTTCCACAGGGCGGGCGCTACTACCGAGAAGGCCCTCTGCCTGCCTCACAGCGAGGGAACCGCAGAAGGCCCTTGGCGCTGGACCTCAGTGTCCGGGCAGAACGCTGGAGGTGGAGACGCTCCTTCAGGTGTACTGGACCGAGGCCGTTTAGGGCTTTAAAGGTCAGCACCAACACTTTGAATTGTGTTCGGAAATGTACTGGGAGCCAGTGTAGGTCTTTCAAGACCGGTGTTATATGGTCTCGGCAGCCGCTTCCAGTCACCAGTCTAGCTGCCGCATTCTGGATTAGTTGTAGTTTCCAGGTCACCTTCAAAGGTAACCCCACAGAGTGCATAACAGTAGTCCAAGTGAGAGATAACCAAAGCATGCACCACTCTGGCCAGACAGTCCGCGGGCAGATAGGGTCTCAGCCTGCATACCAGATGGAGCTGATAAACAGCTGCCCTGGACACAGAATTGACCTGTGCCTCCATGAACAGCTGTGAGTCCAGAATGACTCCCAGGCTGCGCACCTGGTCCTTCAGGGCCACAGTTACCCCATTCAGGACCAGGGAGTCTTCCACACCTGCCCATCTCCTGTGCCCCAAAAACAGTACTTCTGTCTTGTCAGGATTCAACCTCAATCTGTTAGCTGCCATCCATCCTCCAACTGCCTCCAGGCACTCACACAGGACCTTCACCGCCTTCACTGGTTCCGATTTGAAAGAGAGGTAGAGCTGGGTATCATCTGCATATTGATGGACACCCAGTCCAAACCCCCTGATGATCTCTCCCAGCGGCTGCATGTAGATGTTGAAAAGCATGGGGGAGAGGACAGAACCCTGAGGCACCCCACAAGTGAGAGCCCAGGGGTCTGAACACACATCTCCCCCCCACCACTTTCTGAACACGGCCCAGGAGGAAGGCGCGGAACCACTGTATAACAGTGCCCCCAGCTATGTGACTGGTGTTGGCTAGCACAATAAACTTATTGATGATAGTATGTGGTGCAGTGGATAGAGTGTTGAACTAAGACCTAGGAGAACAGGGTTCAAATCCGCACTTGGCCATGAAGCTCACTGGGTGACCTGTGGGGTGTCACTCTCAGCCTACCCTACCTCACAGGGTTGTTGTGAGGAGCAGGGGGAACCATGTAAGCCACCTTAAGCTCTGTGGAGAAAAAGGTGGGCTCTAAATGCAATCAATCAATCAATCAATCCCACCTGAAAATGGTAGCCCCCGGGAAGTGCCCAAAGTCACAGACCCCAAGTGCACTGAGGGTCAGAGGCAGGCCTATACTCTGTGTAGGAACAGCTGACCTGACAGACAGCCTCCCTGGCTCTCTGGTTAAGTGAAAAGGAAGAACTGAGCCCAGGAACCCATGGAGAATATTGTCTCCAATTAGTGTCTTACCAGCAGCCACAAGTCTTTGTTAAGAGGCCTTATATCACAGCAATGCTGAGGTTTAATGTGAACCGGGAATACTCTCGCCATCGTTTTCCAACAGTAGGAAAGAGTGGTTCTATCAGGTGTCTCCTTATAAAAATAAAAATCAATGCATATGCCTAGCTTTAGATAGCAATTGTCCTATTACTGTGACTTACTGTCTAGAAAAGGTTGAGATATTTTTTGTCACAGACTTTTAATCCAAAGGCACGATATGGTGAACCTCTCATATGTGTCTGCTAAATATCACCACTCCAGACATAGATAACCAAAACAGAGATATACTTTTACAAGCAAAGATTTAAGGAAAGAAACAATAATAAAAAAGTGACTGGGACATTTTTCTGAGAAATGGAAAATTGCCATAGGAGTGAATCAAAACAGATGAATCTCTTTTCAACTCCTGCCGCCTCTCCAGTTGTGCATCTTCAGTATCTCTGAACAGAGCACCTGTTTGCCTCAGTAAAATGAAGATGAAACTAGACTTAGAATTACTACATTAACCGACACCCACAGTTATTCTTAAAGTATAACTCCTTTGGTGCTACAACATTCTCTTTCAAAGTTTCAAAACGGTCTTAGTGACATCCATTTAATTGGTTTCCCAAAAAATAAAACAAAAATGAAACTACTACCTAAGCCATGACTCTTAAATCTTTTTTAACAGGTGTTCAGTGGAAACACATGCAAATTTAAAGGGGCAATGAAGACTTCTGAAAGAATTTTCCTTGTTACGCTATAATGAAAGCCTGAGGAAGCCTCTTACAGTGTTTCATAGACTGCCACTACAGTATTTCAAAACGGCAAAAGTATTTTCAAATGCTGAAGTTCCTTAAAACTCTCAGCATATGTAACTCGAAAGCTGAAGCTATCTGCATTTATATTTCTAACCCTTGAGCTGGCGTGGAAGAGCTCAACTCTCCTATGGGGTAAAATATCGTGGCATGAGCTAATCTTACAACTCATTGCATAATATGCTTTGAGCAATTTCAGATCATGCCATAACTGATGCTAATAGTCATTGTTGACACCCAGATTGTCAGCAGTGCTCATAGATGGCTTGTAATTTTCACAGCGGAGCACTGTGGGTAAAAGCTCAGCGCCTAGGCTTGCCGATCGAAGGTCGCGTTCGAATCCCGCGCGGGGTGCGCTCCGTGCTCAGCAGCGCTCCAACTAGCAGTTCGAAGCACCCGGTGCAAGTAGCATAAATAGGACCGTGCACTCGAAGGTAACGGCTTCCGTGTCGCTCTGGCTCACAGATGCACTTGTCAGCTGGCCACATGCCCGAAGTGTCTCGGACACGCTGCCGCCTCTTAGTGAATGGCGCACACCTAAGTCTCAAGCAGCCCGACGGGCAGGTACTTACCTTTCTTAATTTCGACAGCACAATGACACACCAGGAACTCTGAGACGTGTCATTAGCACTTCTCGATTATGCAAGTTAACCTCCAAAGATCAAACCTGCACTCTGGCCTTCCATTCCTGTCACACAGCACTATGATGTCCCATGACTGCTGGCAATCCCCAGTATGGTATGCATTTTGCCCCTGCAGGAGCTCCATTACAGGGTCACTCATTAATGGAGCTCCCTGAAGGGGCTAGAAAGAGAGGGTGGGAAAAGGGATAGAAGACCAAACCTGCCCTAGAGTCCCTTGTGCAGTCAAACCAGAATCTGCCCTGGAATGCAGCCTGGCAAATTAGCAGCCCTCTCTCACCAAAGGGCTGCAACACAAGCACCACACCATGCCTTGTTCCCAGTTCTCAGCCACTCCAAATGCTTGCTTTGCCGCAAACAGTAATGCCATGAATATGTAAGGGGGGGCATTTTACTCACTTTGTTGAGATGGTTGCTGTTCAAAACGGTGGCTACAAGTCTTTCCAGAGAGATTTCCAGATTCTTGAGACACTGTCCCAAAATCTGTCCAACTACATCTGCGTCACTTAATCACTTTGTTATGACTCATAACAAAGTCATAAGATGTGAAAAGTTGAGTTCTGGAAGAACTATATGAAGCAACCAGGTCACTGAGCAATTTAGAGATAGAGTCAGATATCGTGGAGCAGTTCCTTCTACATTTCCCCCCAAGTCTGTTCTCAGACCTCCAGCCTATGCCAGTTCAAGGAAATGTTGTGGGAACTGCACATGAGAAACCAAGGACTTGCTTGTTATGGCAAGTCAATATTGGCCATGCAGAAACATAGCCGAAGGTAGGTAAGGTTTCTAGTGTATCAGCTATATATCTATTTGAGGTATTGTATCCAGAATCATCAAAATGGCCTAAGCACAGCTCCATATGAGTAGGTAGCAGAGCATCACCTATGGAAGTTGGAATCCCTGAAACACAAACATAGTGAGCCACTGTGTTGCAGTAGGAGCAGAGTCAGTCTTGTAAATGAACATAAAACCTCAAGAAGATTCCTGCTGGATCAAGCCAAAGGCCCATCCAGTTCATTCCCCTGTTCTCACCATGGCTGACCAGATGCCTATGGGAATCCTGAAAGCAGGAGCTGAATGAAAGAGCACCCACCCCACTGGTGACCTCCAGCAGCTGATATACAGAGACATACTGCCTCCAACATTGAAGGTAGAATGGTGATACCCAGGTTCAAATCTCTGCCTAGTCATGGAGCTCATTTGGGTGACTTTGAGCATTGAGCTAGTTACTTTCTCAGCCCAGGCTATCTTTTTTGGCTGTTGTGATGCTCAAATAGCCATTGATGTGAGGAATACAATCCATATACTGTATGCAACTTTGAGCTCCTTAGAATGGCTCCTGGTGGTGAATCTGTGGGCCCTGAGATGTTTCTGGGAAACAACTGCCTTCTTCTCTGATCTTTGACCATGCTCACTGGGGTTGATGGGAGTTGGAGTTAGGGTTGCCATACGTCTGGAATTTCCTGGACATAACCGGCATTTGGTCCTCTTAAACAGCATCTGAGCGGAATTAGCTGGAATGTCCAGGGAAATCCAAACATATGGCAGCCCATGTCAGAAGTGTAGATTTTGGTGAATTTCATTTAAAATAGCTGATTTTGAGATTTTGCAAAAAATAATAATATAATTTTTATTTATTGAATCTATATACCACCCTATACTCAGACTGGATGACAGCCAACAAACTGAAGCTCAATCCAGATAAGACTAAGGCACTGTTCGTGGGTGGTTCCCTACACCAGATGGGTGGGAGATTGCCTGCTCTTGATGGCGTTACACTTTCCTCCCTATGTTAGAGGAAAGGAAGGGTAACAATGCAAATAAAGTAACAAACCAAACAAAAAAGCGAAATGTCAGTCTGTCCCCCACTGGGGGGCAGATAGTCGCAACCAATGCCTAAGCAACCACTCACATTTTTTGAATTTTAAGAAAGTTGTTGCCAAAATTATGCCAAAAACCTTAAACAAAAATTCCGTGTGAAGTGTGAGTTTTGGGGTGGCCTGGGGACCTTGACACGCAACACATGTGTTTGCAAGAACATATGATCCTGGGAGGCAAAAGGCAGGAAGCAAGAGCAATCCATTGCTGGCAAGTTATGTGCACAGTGAAGGAAGTTGCCACTTGGTAAACAGAGGATGCAACATATTAAAAAAAAAATAATAACTTCAATATAAAAGCTGAAAGTTTCAAGAAATTAGGCTTGCTACAATTCTTAGCAGTAGAAGTAATGAAGGCAAACATGCAAGAAAAGGTCCCTCTCTTTTCACTTTGATCTGACTGAATTAATAACTTAAAAGGTGTTCTGAAGTAAAGGGAATACTCAAGAAATGCAGCACAATGGATGAAAAGCAAAAGTGGCAAAAACGCTTTGAAAACCGGATTGCACTTCAAACAGGATGTGATTTTGTAGGCTATGCCTCGGTGACAGTGTGGTTTCAGAGCAACTCACTAACCATTGCAACTGCATAAAAACAAAGATTCTCTGGGAATATAATGTGTTAAACGCTGACCCTTCCGTACACATTCTAGGCACCTTGTTGCAATGGGGAAAGGGCAAAGGTTCAGAACATGAGGAAGAAATTGTCCTGATTAGTGCAAGTAAATGAGAAGTTTGAAAGGAATAGCCTTGTGATCCCCAGCACCTGGTATTCAGAGGCATGCTGCTTCCCATATGGAGGTATGGGAAGCTATTAGTAGCAACTTATCTTCCATGAATTTCCTGGCAAGAGAGACGGCTGTTCCATCCTTTGCTTAGTGGCTTAGCATGGGAAGACAGGCTATAGTTGACTTACTAGATCAGAGATGTCCATAGTCCAACCTTATGGAGATGGAGCAGGTTACAGAAGGACTCGGGTACCACATCCAGTGGCATTAAATGCCAATTACATGCGCACACAAACATACCCCTCTAGCTACCTATCCCTCTTTTAAGAGAAAATTTGCAGGGGGGAAATGAAAATGAAAACATAAAATACATTTGAAAATTATTCAGTTAAGCAGAAACAACTCAGAGGCTATGAAAGAAAGAAGGATAATAACAAGAAGATTTAAAGAAGGAGAGAGAGTTTTGGATTTGATATCCCGCCTTTCACTCCCCTTCAGGAGTCTCAAAGCGGCTAACATTCTCCTTTCCCTTCCGCCCCCACAACAAACACTCTGTGAGGTGAGTGGGGCTGAGAGACTTCAAAGAAGTGTGACTGGCCCAAAGTCACCCAGCAGCTGCATGTGGAGGAGCAGAGACGCGAACCCGGTTCCCCAGATTACGACACTACCGCTCTTAACCACTACACCACACTGGCTCTCTGGGACTATTGACACTCAAGGGAAGGGACTACTAGGGACTATTGACACTCAAGGCAGTAGAAACATGAGGTGATTGGACCCCACTGAACTCAAAGCATGGGAACCCCCAACAAAAAAGTTATAATTTTGCAAAATATTTGGACTTTATGATATGTATTTGTACAATTTGGAATATTTAATGTGATTTGATTGGTTTATTAAAATAGAAAACTTAATAAAAATTCTTTTTAAAAAAGAAAGAAAATTATTCAGTTAAGTAAGACATGATGTCCGGAGTTCATTCAAAATGGAAATTACCAATTTACTATTTTCCAAACAGCATCCAGGGAAAAAAGTTTGCTTAAGAGCAGCTGCTGCCTCAAATGAATACCTTCAGCTTCTACAGCTTCAACTCTTGACTTCTGCTTGGAATCCTGTCCAGATACTATTTTGGACATGCGCTCTGCATATTATTCTTTGCTGCTTTTATCTGCTGGCTTTGAGTGAATAATCTCTAAAGCCAGCACCAACTGTGAGGTTTTCAAGTACCGCATCACATCTTTATCTTTTATTTCTGTAATAACAACAACAAAAGCAAAGCCATATTAGGGTGCTTCACCCTAATAAAAAAGTTATTTCCTGTGTTTTATTCATTTAAAGGAAATAATCCAGAAGCAGATCAGTTTTCCTAGCCCGGGCAAGGCTTAGATCAATCAATGAGTGCAATCTCCAACAGCAAGAGGAATGAAACATTTACAAGTAGCATCAATACAGTGTCAAAAATAAAATGTAGTCTGACAGTTTGAAAGCAATTGTGTGTACCACAGGATAATAAATATTTGCTAGCAGGTGGAAGCCTTGCTTTGGTGAAGCTATAGATGCTATTTTAAAAATAATAAAATAATACAAGTTTATAAGTACATAAAAAAGAATAAGTTTGTTTTACTTAAACAAAGTAGAGCTTAAACAGAGTAGAGTCATTGAAATCAATGGATCTAACTTAGTCATGTTTGTTAATTTATGAGTAAAACTCAGTTGAATACCATCCATTGAATTAAATGGGTGTGTTGTTAGAGAGTTCTGGGGTTGTGTCTGAGTCCATGGATTGTGACACTTGAAATATGTATGGTGGTAAGAATGTGCTCAGAGGCGCCAACTTCTGAGAAAGAATGGAGAGGGGTGCCAACCGTCGCATGACACATGACATCAACATCCCAAAATTCCTCCACCCCTCCAATACACACTATTTGCATTTTCATAGGGCAATTCCCAGAATGTCTGGTTGGAGTCTCAGTTATCTTGTGGACATCACCCCTTTATTCATCAATTAAGTTTGAGAGTGAGAAGTGAGGGAAGGAGGCTGGTCACTGAATAAGTAGCACACATGGTGACAACTCCATAGGGCTGAGGGGTCTTCAGCACCATCAAAGTCTGTTGGGATGGGACTGAGCCCCCCAATCTTGAGAGTCTGGGGCTTTCTGGACCTCACAGTGGTTAGCCTTGCCGCCAATGTTGGGCAGAACTTGGCTGCTCTGGTAGCCCACAATTTTCGGCTATCAAGCAAGAGGGAGAGGAGGAATAGAATGGAAAGGTGGGTTAAAAGGGAAATAAGATGCGTACATGAAAATCCTAAAGCTGCAACCTTCTGTCTACTTATCTCAGAGTTAGCACCATTCCACTCAATGGGACAAGGCATGCAAAGAGTTGCATTACTTACTAGTTTGTGTAGGGGGCTAAAGAGTTTAGTCAAAGTCCCAGCTCATCAAGGGCACTAATCATAATACAGCTCAAGACAGTGACTTTGGATCAATACAAAATTATATCTACACTTGTGGGTTATGGTAACAAAAAGTTTGGAAACCACCAATTCTGCAGTCCCGGAAATCAACTGCTGTACTTTTGCTTTGTTTCCCTTAAAAATACTATCATGAAGAGCAGCATGATCTATCCAGTGCTACGCATTGATAAACAGGCTACATTTTCCAAGAAGAGATTTATTCATGTCGTCTCCTGTTCAATATTTCGTTTCACCTACCATTCATTTTAGAAGGGAAATGGAAGTAGTTGTCAGTTTTCATTTACTGCTTTCCTGCAATATATTTCAGTCTATTGTTGCACCAGTCAAGCAGTTAAGGGCGAAATCTTCCAGTGCCCATCCGGCATAGGGACCTTGCATCAAAATTGCTCACACATTCCCAGGCTCAAGGTCCTTTCCTGCAAGGCAGTTTGCCAAGTCTTTGCATGGGACTTTTGAGCTTTGCCGGCAGAGCTCCTAAAGAATCAGAAAACACAGCCGCACCTGCATTTTTGCAAGTCCTCCTTGAAATATGTGGCATCCAGTCTACATGCAGCTGGGAATGAGGACTGTGGTTAGGTTCATTAAAAAAGAAATTTAGCTATTTGTAGAATAACCAAACTTACTGCTCTTACCTGCTTGGCTGTGTGTGTTTTGAATGTGTGCAATATATTGAACACATTTTCTTTTTTCTAACCTTTAATATTGTTATCATTTTTGTTGATAGTATCAGTAATATATATGTAAATATGGATTTGTATGTTAAAGACCACTTTCTTCTGTTTTTTCTTGTTAACCTATCAATGAAAAAATAAAATTTCATTTCAGCTACAGACTCCACATCTACACATGGCATCAGAGAGTTAAATAAACTGGGGGGGGCATTTATTCTTTATTTTTTTACCTAGTCTAATTTTATTTTTGGATTTCCTGTATCCTCTCCCAGCTGTCCCTACAACATAGCCTTTTAATTTAAGAGAAGAGTATAGCTACCAGTCCAGAGTGAAATTCCAGGAATCAGAGTCCTGTGGTCTTAGACGCATGTTACTAGAGTTCAGTCTGGTATTGGTAGTCATGGTATCCTCTTCAATTAAGCTGAAATACACCAGCAGAAGACCAGTGAATGCATTACAAATATGTACAGTGGTACCTCAGGTTAAGTACTTAATTCGTTCCGGAGGTCCGTTCTTAACCTGAAACTGTTCTTAACCTGAAGCACCACTTTAGCTAATGGGGCCTCCTGCTGCTGCTGTGCCGCCGGAGCACGATTTCTGTTCTCATCCTGAAGCAAAGTTCTTAACCTGAAGCACTATTTTTGGGTTAGCAGAGTCTGTAACCTGAAGCGTATGTAACCTGAGGTACCACTGTATTTACAAACATATTTTAGCCCTGCCTGGTCAATACCCTCTCACCCTTTGGAGCAATTTAAGAATCTGATTCTCATTGCACATTTGCTACACTAAAGGGCAATCATTTGAAAAGTCTCACACAACACAACTTCAGTGGCAAATATTGGAGGTGGCTTTGATTAACACCACATGCTGACAGAGGAGAACTGTCTGGGAGTAGGGGATAGGAGATGCAGGCTTTGATATTGGTAAACTGAAATGGTGAAAAGAAAATTTGTGGGTACAGTAAAGTGGTGGAGCTACAGCAAACTGTTTTTAATAAACTATTTCCCCATATTTTAGAATAGGGGTTCCCAACCTTTTGGGGCCTGTGTGCACAACTGAACATTTAAGAAACCACTACAGGCACAACAAAATACCCATTTCATACAAAGAGAAAAGTAGAGATGCTCCATAACATCACCCCAGGAAAAACAGGCAATGGATGTTTGTGCAGAAACACTTTCATGCCTCAGAACAAATAAAACATAGTAAAAGAAAAGAGAAGCTTCCCTGCACCCAATCAAAGAACCTCTTTTTAAAAAAATGGTTCCAAGGATGCCATTGCAGCAGTAATACACTTTAGCAGCAATCTTATGGGAACCTTTGTGGGAGTAAAATTCACATTGAAGTCAGTTGGTGGGATTCACCTAACGAGCCTGGCCAGCAGAAGCCCTGTGGAAGGACTTCTGCTTGCACAATGGGGTTTCCCCCTCTTTCTACCCCACCCCCTGAAATCGGCTGAGAGGTGGGTCAGGAGAACCCCCAGAATGTGGTGGGGTGGGGATAGGAGGGGGGTTGTTCTGCTTGGCAAGGTGAAATGCTTACACAGGTGGCAGATTTGTCATAGTGAAACACTGAATTCTGTCTAGTGACTTTTACTTTTGTGTAATCATAGAATAGAATCATAGAATCATAGAGTTGGAATAGACCACAAGGGCCATTGAGTCCAACCCCCTGCCAAGCAGGAAACACCATCAGAGCACTCCTGACATATGGTTGTCAAGCCTCTGCTTAAAGACCTCCAAAGAAGGAGACTCCACCACACTCCTTGGCAGCAAATTCCACTGTCGAACAGCTCTTACTGTCAGGAAGTTCTTCCTAATGTTTAGGTGGAATCTTCTTTCTTGTAGTTTGGATCCATTGCTCTGTGTCCGCTTCTCTGGAGCAGCAGAAAACAACCTTTCTCCCTCCTCTATATGACATCCTTTTATATATTTGAACATGGCTATCATATCACCCCTTAACCTCCTCTTCTCCAGGCTAAACATGCCCAGCTCCCTTAGCCGTTCCTCATAAGGCATCGTTTCCAGGCCTTTGACCATTTTGGTTGCCCTCCTCTGGACACGTTCCAGTTTGTCAGTGTCCTTCTTGAACTGTGGTGCCCAGAACTGGACACAGTACTCCAGGTGAGGTCTGACCAGAGCAGAATACAGTGGCACTATTACTTCCCTTGATCTAGATGCTATACTCCTATTGATGCAGCCCAGAATTGCTAATCGTGTTTAGATCATTTCAATTAAAGTTGCAATTCGAAGCATATTCTCAGGAGTTATCCCACTGCTCAGGACTGTACTGTCATTTATTGCTGCAACCAATTTAACTTTTCAGCCGGTGATTTCCTAATAAAAGTCACTGCTCTACAGCTTGCAGAGCTGAACGTAAAGCCTTATGGTACTCCACAATACCCACTTCCTTTAAATACACTTAAATAAATTACTTGAAACCCTTCTTGCACATCAATTGGGGGGAGGGAAGGCTATATTGCACAAGCATCACATAACTGATTCAAGCATGACGTGCAGTTTGTCCAAGCAAGCTTATTCGATACAGAGAAAAGAAATAATATACAGCTCCACTGCTAACATTTGTTAGCAAGAGAAATTGGAGCACCAGTTCAGAGTCACTGACATTTCTTTATGAAATCAACAAACTCAGGAAGCATAGCATTTCAAGGAGCAAAGCATCTCAGAAGAGGTATTTGCACCAACCAGATGAAAATATGAATGACAAGTGAGCTGTCTGTAACACGGACTTCAGTATTTGCTCTCAGTTGCAACACTAGAACATTTAATTGCACAGCCCCCTGTAACATTTAATGGGGAAGACCCAGTTTCCATACAAAGCTATGATTGCCCCTCCCCATCGTCATTTTCCACTCAGGGACAGTTTGCAGGTGAATTCATCTCTGACAGCTAAAAGGAACATCAGCTCAGCTTCTTTAAAAGTACAAAAGTGCTTTTTATAAAGCAAATGGCTGTGAAAGCAAATTAGGAATATGCAATTGTAAAAAATAAATACATTTTGTTCTAAATAGTCTACGGCAGACAACATACTCTGCATGAAGAAAAGCCCTCCCAGGATTCATCTCAGACATCTTCAGTATAAGGATCTCATGTAGCTCCTGGAAAAGCCTTTACAGTGGTACCTTGGGTTAAGTACTTAATTCATTCCAGAGGTCCGTTCTTAACCTGAAACTGTTCTTAACCTGAAGCACCACTTTAGCTAATGGGGCCTCCTTCTGCCGCCAGAGCACAATTTCTGTTCTCATCCTGAAGCAAAGTTCTTAACCTGAAGCACTATTTCTGGGTTAGCGGAGTCTGTAACCTGAAGCGTATGTAACCTGAGGTACCACTGTATCTGAGTCTTGGAGAGCTGCTGCCAATCACAACTCACAGCACTGAGCTCGATGAGTCAATGGTATCTGATAGTACCATTGGTCTGTCCATAATAATCCACAATGAGTTCAGTAGATAAGCTGGTTGGGTTTACTCACCTCTGTCCTTCAGGCTTCTCAGCACAGATAGAAGGACCAGGATGTGGGGTGTCCTAGCCTTCCAGGAATTCCACTTTCCTTGCTAGTTGGGCTAGGGACTAGGAACAAGGGTTTTGCACCTGGCAATGGGCCAAAGAGATGGCGTGAGGATTCTGCTGGGGTTCTGCCCATCCTACTGCCCAAATTTCTCCCTCCTTGAGCTTACTATAGATATGATCATGAAGGTGGGGTTGGAAAACTCCCAGAATGTGGTCCTGAGGAATTTCAACATTCACATTCATGATCCCCCATCACTTTAGGGGGTGGACTTTTAAAAAATGGCATAAAGGGCAATGCTGTTTAGAAAGGGAAGACGAGTCCTAGACAAGAGAGATAGACCCTAGAGAAGGAAATGGCTAGAATACACAATACGGACCATAACTAGCCAGAACAGCTGAATGATAGGCCATCTGCAAGTGGGGAAGCTGCACTGCTATTAAAAAGAAGAAACTGGATTTTTTTTAATGAGCTGTGAAAGAAAACTAAAGCTGAACAGGGAAAATAGGAGAGGAAGAAATTCACAACACTCGGCTGTTCTCCCATAAAATGTAAGTGAACAAAGCACAACTATTCCACAATAAATGCTCAGTGTGGAAGCAGCCTAACTAAGTACAGGAAATGGAAATTTTTGCAAAGTCTCTTTCTCGCTGCCTCCACATTGCTGCCCTCTTCTGCCATTTCCAGTGCTGAATTTCAGATTCGAAACTCTTCAGGACCAGCACTCTTTAAAACACAATGGACACTAATAGCACTATATAAAAAATAAAAATGAATAGCCCTGTCCATTAAACTATGCGCAGAAATATATCTTTTTAAATTACATATTACCTGAACTATATGTTATGTCATGCAGTGACTGGCAGCTGCAGTCCTTTACACAGTGGGAGTAAGTCCCACTGAGCTCAGGAGCAGACAAATTAACAATGTAGGATTCCACTGTACATGCCACTCAGCGGGCACACAATGTCTCTTAACTGTGAAAGTTGGTGACATTACAGTGTTACCGCTGCGGGAACAGCTGTGAGGAATCTACAGGGCCACTGA